TTTTTTTTTTTTTTTTTTTTTTTTTAATTTTTTTTTTTTTTTTTTTTTTTTTTTTTTTTTTTTTTTTTTTTTTTTTTGTTAAAAAGAAAAAAAAAAGAATACTTGGTTAGATGTAAAATTAGATATTATAATTTTTTTCGTTTGTTATATACATATTGAGTTTAGTATGTAGAGTATTCTTATTAAATTTATTAAATTAACAGAACAAGTGAATCGAAGTATAGTTCTTTTATAGATTTTTTTCCTTTCATAACATCATCATTTATTAAAATTACAATCACAAAAATTTTGATTGTCAAATATTTGAAAACCAACTATAAATATATATCAATATTCTATAATTTCTTTAATGGCATCATAACATCTAATCATGTCCGGAACATAAAATTTTTCGAATATTAATGGAAACGGAGTGCTAATAATAATGGAAAAAAAAAATTTTTTTTCTTTAGGATAGTCGTCATTTTTTTAAAAATAAAACTGAGAACGAACGAACGAACGAAAGAAACTTACTCCCATCCACAAACTCTCTGGATTGGTGCTTCAAGTCTTAAAAAACATCTTTCCATTATACTTGTTGCAACTTCAGCTGCAAAACCAGAAGTTTGAGGTGCCTCATGAGCAATAACCAACCTTCCAGTTTTATTCACAGATTTTGCAACGGTATCAACATCCCAAGGTAACAGGGATCTTAAATCTATGAGTTCACATGATAGGCCAGGAAAGCTTTTCTCTGCCAATCGAATGGAATTTTCTAGAATATAAATTATGGATCCGTATCCTACCACAGTTACATCTTTGCCAGATTTGAGTATCTCGGCTTTACCTAAAGGAAGTTCATAATCAACTACTGGAACTTGTTCAACTAATCTCACACAATAAAGACGCAAATAATAATAAAGGTTTGTTATTGGATTATAATAACTTTTTAATTTGCAAAAAAGGTAATCATCAACTTACTAGCAGCACGATATAAAATTTTAGGTTCCAAAAATATTACGGGATTTCGATCTCTTATTGATGCTAATAAAAGACCTTTAGCTTGTATTGGACTTCTAGGCATAATCACCTTTAAATGAAAACAATTTATAATTGACATAACAACGATTGATATTCTATTATTTATTACACTGAGAGACCACCATGAAATTTTTTAGGTGCAATTCTACCTTTGAAGTATCAACTAACGTTTAATTTACACAAACTTACCTTTTAGGTATAACCCTTGTTCAAACCCGTAATTGCGTAAACCTTTAATAGGCCTGTCAACTTACCAAACTTTCGCAAACGTATCGTAAATTAAAAATTACACAAACTTACACCTAAAAAATTTCCTGATGAAAGGCTTACCTTCAGCCCAGGTGTGTGAGTAAAATATGCCTCTGGTGATTGCGAATGATAATGTCCACCGTGACCCACAGCCGAACAAGGTGATCGAACAGTAAAACCACCAACATTGAATAAACCACCCGAACGGTATCTATATTTGCTAGCTTCGTTGACAAGCTAATTTAATATAAATTAGAAATGTTAAAGTTCAATATAATAAAAAAAAAAAAGTAAGATATCATCGTACCTGATCAAAAGCCGGAAATATATAATCTGCGAATTGAATTTCAGCAATAGCTGTATGACCCATTGCCGCCATTCCTATACCAAATCCGGCAATACCTTGTTCGGACAATGGTGTATTGAACACACGATGTCTACCTATTAATTAACGCGTAAACTTATATAAATAATTATTATCAAACTTAGTGATACCAGTCTGCAGAGTCGATTCCGGTATTTTCAAATGACTGATCCTAATTTTGATATGATGTCAGAATATCACGATATTCTCAATAAATTTTATTCTGATCAATTGAAGTGCAAATTATTTTCCGGTTAAAAGATGTTTTCTATTAAGATTATTTTTGAATCATACGATTTACTACGCCTCTTAACTTATATACATTAATTAAATATTAATAAATTTTATGGTTGCTAATTTCAAATGAGAGTCATGACTAAGTCGTGACTGACAACTACTCCCGAGTTTGACACGGTTGGTATCACTAAATCAAAACTATATTCGCTGAACATTACCAAATGTTTCGGCTAACCCTAAAGTGCAGCGGAATACTCCACCGAAAGCCACATCTTCACCAAAGATAACTATATTATTACAAAAAAATATTACATTAATTTGAAATATTTAAAAACCATAAAGATAATGATTATACACGTTGCCTGCTGTCTCATCAGTTGCCAATGCAATGCTCATGGCATCATTTATTGCTTGGAACATATTCATTTTTTTTGTCTCTCCTGGATAAAAACATAATCCGTTTTAACTAAAAATTAATTGAATACGTTGATAAATTAAATAAAAATACCATTTACGACTCCAATATCAAATTCAGGATTTTTCAGAGCTGCTTCTTGTGTACTTTTTATAAAGCTAGACTGGGAAACACCAGGCATAAAGCCTTCCGCTGGAGGTGGTGTTCCAGACTTTTGAAGGAACAAACTCGTTGCATGGAAAGAAGCCTATAAAGTAATTTATTAAGAAATATTGTGCAAAGAAATGTACGTTTAATAAAATAATAAATAGAGGAAATACCTTATTTTAATACCTTGTTGATTAATTTATTTATTGATTTGTTAGGAATCGCGAAATTAGGAAGTAATAATGAAGTCAAACGAGAAGTACGCATATTCGAATTCTACGAGAGGAATAATCGAGTTGAACACAACCCCAATTTTTAAGTACAAATTACGTAATATTATTAGCCAATCAAATTTAGATATTAAATGCTAGTCGCGTAAATAAATTACTCGCGTTTACTAAATGTTAAGAAGTTTGATTTTAACAAATTCATTAGATTTTTTAGAAATTTTTATTTAGAATAATAAAGCTCAATTACCAAATTTATCAAATTAGTATATTTGTACAACTTTATTATTATTATTATTTTGTTCAACCCTATTTTACCAAAATATATCTTTTTAATTAATAATAAGCAAAAGTAAGGATTTACAAAATTGATTAACCGATATGAGGTTGCAATTGATAATCAGACATAGCCTAAAAAATAAATCGTTTTGTAAAATATTTTTTTTTTTTTAAAAAAAAAATCCTAAATAAAATTTACTTACTACAGAATTAAGATTCAAATCGTGTTCAGTTTGATCAATATGTGCCACAGTAATGACGAAAGATTTTTCAAGCTTATAAACGGTATCACCGTGATAATAATTGGCAATTGCTGTAATTTCACACGTCTCTGAGTTCATATCTGGAGTACCTGTCAAAATATTATTTTCCCAACGAAGCCATTCTGGTAGCCATGGTGAGTGAAATACAGCTTTTATAGCTAAATAAAATGAAGTTGATTTAATGGATTAATATCTGAAAATAAGATATTCTTTAGACTATCACTTACATTTAACGTTAACTTGCGGATCCCAAACTCGAGGTGCATAAGTATATTTTGTTCCAACGTAAGCAATCTTATCAGGAATTCCAGCTATTTTGCGAGTAAACTCGCGAAATATCCACCCACCAGTAGGTGTTTTTTTGGCTTCTATATTCCATACATGATTACCCTTGGATTTGGCCTTTTTACCATCCTCATTAAATCGAGAGATATATCTGTTTTTTTTTTTTTTTTTTTAAAAAAAAAGAAATTTATTATATAATATTAAAGATGTTAATTCAACAAATAAAAAAATTTTATATTGAAACCTTTGCGTCCACAAATAATTCTTCACTTTTCTTAATGGTAACATATCTTCGTTAAATCCATGACGAAGTAATTCTTCATGAAAGGCATTAGTGAATGCTTGAATTCGAAATTTGAATGGACGAAAGTCAGGAGACTCATCCAACTTTTGCATCTTTTTTGCCATTAAAGTCTGATGACTATTGTCAAAAAAATAAATTACCACGGTCAAAATTAAAATAAACTAAACCAAAACTAACTCCTGAAATAGCAATAAATCTCAAACCTACATCTGTTCACCCTTTGAATCAGTAGCGTCCACTATATAAAATTTATAAAACATTAGAAACCTATTATTTATATTAATCATAATAATATAAATATCACACATACGATTAGAACAAATGGTTTGTAAAAAGCTTATGAATATATCATCAAGATTTTTCAAAAGCATGGGATCTAACGGTGCATGTGTATGCGTGCGTGTCGTATTTTGAAGTACAACACCCTGTGGAGCAAAAATGGGAGATGGCTATAGGTCACAAAAAAATTCAAAAATATCAATATTGAATATGAAAGATAAATATTTGACACCTTGATTAATGATACAAACCGGAGCAAAATGATCACCAGTGCTAGCTAAATCGCGAACATTAACAGAATACACTTCGCTTGTTATAGTAGGAGTATCTTCAACATTCGATTTTATCGCTTTCCTAGGTTTTTCATATTTTACAGTCACAGCTCTCTAAATCGTTTATTTTTTTTTTAAAAAAAAAAAAATTTTTTTAGGTAAATCGATGCGATGCGATGAAGGTTAGAAAATATCTAGCGAACCTTATTTGTTTTTTGGTGTGGTACAATAGGCTGTGTAGATACTGACGTTGATGGAGATGCTTGTGGCGTAGTATGGGGCGTAGCCATGGAATGCTTTTGTCAATTAATTTATTAAAGAGTTAGCCATATTTACAAATATAAACATTTATAAAAGAAAAAAGAAAAAAAAAAATACGGAAGAATTTCGGTTTAAGATAAAATATCTTAATTAAAAAAAAAAGAATTTACCCTTAAATTCTATTAAATAAAGTAAAACGTGAGAATAATTCAAAAAATAAAAAGTAAAAATTTGGAGAAATATTAAACACCCTTGATTACCAGTTGTTCAATATTTGTTTTAAAGTCTTTCAACACATTAATAGTCTTTGCGATATCTTCAAGACGGTTAAAGGCCTCGCTTTCTATACCTCGTGCAAATTGTTCTTTGGCTTCTTGAGCCATCAGAACGATGCTACATATTTTTGAAATCAGTGTATGTTGTTATTCACGTTGAATAAAAAAGTAAAAGTTATCCGGACTAGATCCAGACAACAGTATTTTACAATATTTCAGACAAGCTAAAAAAGTCGTGTTTATGATATTCCACGCGATGCTTTTGTGCAAGTACCCTTCTTTCGGTCACTAAAAGAAAAGCTAGTTAAAGTAAGACCTAATAAACCGTACCTCTCAAAAAGTTGGGTCACATTCATATTCATTTTTTTTATCCAGTAATAGTAGATAGTATCAAGTATTAGTTGGGGTTGCTTCCTTTGGGGTAGGGACGTTGAGGGGGACGCTTTTTGCTGAAAAAAAGAAGGCCTCTCGAAAGAGGGGTTTGAAGGGAAAAAAAAAAGTGTTACTAAAAATTGAGATGATGGTTGTAATAAAATGAAAGTCGGAACCAAATTTATCCGTGTGATTCAATATAATATGTTACACAGCACTTTCCAAGAATATATTAAAAAAAAAATGTATGGAAAATACTTTAACCTTTTTTTCATTAGAAAAAGCTTTTATATTAAAAATTCATATTAAATAAAGTTAGATTATTATAAAATTTTTATATAGACGCTTTATAGTAAAAAGGAAAGAATATAAAAAAGAAAAAATTTTTACTTTATATATTAAATATGATTTTTTAATAAATAAGTTTAGATTTAAAATTAATTTATTTTTTTTATTATAAATATCAATTTATAATTTAAACTTTATAAATAATTTATTAAGTTTAATTGATTAAAATTTTAGTTATAATTATTTTTAAAAAATTATAAAAACTAATAATTTGTATTTAAATAATATTTATATTAAATAAAAAGGTTTTATAATTTATCATCATATTATTTTATCACTAATTTTTAATATCATGTGATAAATAGATTTGCATATGATCAATTTTTATTCAATAATTTTTGTTAAATACATTTATTGTACAAGCTATTTATTAATATAACATATTGTTAGTATTAAAAACCCATAAATTGACAAATAAAAATGTTAAATTTTTGAGATCATAAAGACTTTATTAATTCAGAACGTTAGCTAAGAACTATATATATTTTATGCACTTTAATGTCTGTTTGCTTAAATTTTAAGTCGATACATAGTTAGTCCCTTGTATTCTAAACTTAATAATAGTTTTCAAAACTATTCTCTAATATTTTAATCATTATTATTATCTATTATTAAAGTATTTTATTTTTGTGAGTAAGATTTTTATTAAAATAATATTTCATTTTTCATAACTTTATTTAATTATTTCATTTTTTCTTAGAAATTATAGTCTGGTTTTTTAATATTTAATAAATACTGCATATTACAAATTATAAATAAAAATAAAAATTCTCTATTTACTAATTAAATTACTAATTATAAAATTCTATAAAATCTATTATAAGTAAAGTAATTATTACATAAAATATGTTTCTTTAATTTTTATTCTTATTATATCAATATAATCTAATTATTAATTATTAAATATCTTATTCTTAATAATAAAATATATAGTAAAAAATAATACATGTAGAAAAAAGTTGTAAATGATCTTACCTTACAATCTTTTTAATAATGACCAGTTTTTCATATTTTCTATAATATTACTAATTTTTTAACTGAAAATTAACAGTTTCAGAAGAAGATTTAAATCTTTTAATATTTATTAATTAATCTTTTTATGTTATTTTTTTAAATTTTGCAAAATTGGCAATATAAAATCAGTATTCTCATTATTATTTATATCATTTTCATATAAATCTAATTGATTTGCTTTACAATCTTCTATAAGTTTTTGTAATAAGTTAATAAACTGCTCTATTTTAAAATCAGTTTATAATATTTAATTCAAAGTTTTCTTATATATTCTATATAATTTTCTATATATAATTATTATTCAAAAGCCACTAATTCAGTGATGAGTTTTGAATACATTTTTAGATTTATTTAGTTTTAAATAAGGTTTTAAATATAAGAAAAAATATTCAAAATTTATTCAAAATTGTTCAATACTGCATTAATCTATCTTTACAAAAATCCTTATTATTTTAATTAAATTAATATAATTTGTTAAATTCATTAGCTTTATAATTATATGTAATATCTTTTTATATAAATTTATCAGTAATTAAAAAAAATTCTTTTATAAAATTTTTATAATTATTATATTATTATATTAGAATAAGTTGTATATGAAATTTTTACTTTTTTAATTATCAATAATATCTCAAAGTAATATTTACATATAATATCATATTATATAATTAAAAAATATAAATAAAGATAACTTTGATTTTACAATAATAAAATATAATATTTGATATTTAATGTATTGTTAATTTTGATTACTTATATTTTTCTAATGTTATATAAACTAACAAATTGAATTCTGTTTTAAAATAATTTATAAAATATTAATTTCTAATATCTTATTAGAATTATTAATTAAAAAAAATTAATAAATCTTTTATTATTTTAATTAGATTTGTAAAATAATATAAAGATTAGTTTATTATTATAATATATTTTTATTATTATAAATATAAGAAATTATTACAAGTATTTATGAATTTTTGTAAATAAAAGATTTCTATTATTTAGTTTTATATAATAAAAATAAATAATTATTAAAATTTATATTCTTTTTCTTTATCTAGTTAATCAAGGAATTTTGAATTTCAATTATAAGATTAAATAATAATATATTAAAATAGTTTAACAAACATTTTAAACATATTTACAGATTTTATACTAAAGTTAACTATAATTTTATCTGTAAATTAATATTTTATAAAATAATACATTTAATATATTTTTATTTTGTTCTTTAATTGATTATATAATTAAAATATATATGAGGTCTTTGTAATAGAAAGGGAGGAAACTCAAAAAAAAATAAAAAATGAGTTAATAATAAATCTGAACAAATTATAGTATT